AGATTTAAATTTTAGGATTTATAAATTTTTATATACTTCCGTAAATTTTCGTAAGTTTTTACGGTGCGTAAGATATAAACCAACGTAAAATTTTTACGTAAATTTACAATTTTCTTACGCACCGTAAGATTTACGTAGTTTTACGCTAAATTTTACATAGGTTTACGATTTTCTTACACACCATAAAAACTTACAAAAGTTTATGCATATATATTTTTGCTGATGATTAGCTTGGGAAATATTCCAACAAAAATTCGTAATAAAGCTGAGGCAAAAGCACTTGTTGGTCTTATGCCAGTACTGCAAGGAACAAAGGAAAAAAGACAAATATTACAATTTAGACAGCTAATTCGATTGACCTTTCACAAATGTATTAATACATTAATTGAGCCATTATATTCACAACATCATTCTGGAGTATTGTTAAAAATTAACAATTATAGTTTAAAGTGTAATATGATGTTAGCCTGTGTTATTGGGGATTGGCCCGAAAACTGTAAATCGTGTTTAACTTATAGTGGAACAAGTTGTGTGCGTTCTTGCCACACTTGTCTTGTAAAAAAAGATAAACTAAATGCTATTAAATTATCTGCTAATTGCAAAATAACTCGAACAGAAAATCAAATGAGACAAATTATTGCAATGGGACAAAGCAAAGAGTACTCATTACATGAAGAAATAAATAGTTTTTGGAATATAATTTTTATATTTTGTTTGTTTATATGTGGGATACTTTTGTACAATTTTACATTTATAATTTATAATTTATATTTTATTGTTATAGAAATTTTAATATTTATATAGCAACAGTTCCTAAATGAATGCACCATTTAGACCTTGGGCTCTTTTTGTATATGGTTAAATTTACACAAGATCTCTTGAAAGCTCGTGGAGGAAATACTCTTATTAATAAAATGGATCAAAGACTTGGAATGATACTACACCATCCAGGACTAAAAATTTTCAATACTGGACTTGCAGATCTTGCATTATTTACGGCATTAGAATACAGGCAAATGATGAAAGTTATGCCTTTTGTTCTTGAAGGGCTTTTTGCAAAAAATGAAAATGAATTGCTTGTTCAAATATTCATCAATTGGAACAAAGTGTATTGTTATTCAAGACAATGTAAATTTATACAAACTGACCTTTTACAATTTGAGGTTAGTAGCTTTTTTTAATTATCAAATAATTAGATTTGCATTAGTAATATTGCTAGTGACATCAATTTTTTTTTAGAAATCGATTCAGACATGGGCAAAAAATTTCGTTGATATTCTTGGCTCATTCACAAAGAATGAATGCCAGTTTTTAAAATTTCACTACTGGATACATCATACAATTGAAACAATTAAAGAATATGAGAATCTAAATGGGTTAAGTTCCGAGACATATGAGGTGCTTCATAAGGAATATATTAAAACTTCTTACAAAATGTCTAACAAATGTGATATTAATAAGCAGATTTTGCAAAAGGTATTTTTTATTTAGCGTACTGTATTATTATATTTAATTTGTACTAATACAGTAATATGATATTTATTAGGTAGTATGAACAATTACAATTAATAACTGTATTGTTCCAGAAAAATACCAATCAAGGTTTAAAAAAAAAATGAGACAATTTGGAAAGAAATATTGTACCATATCTCTGCATCTTCTAAGGTCGCTTATTGAATTATATGAGAATGAAGAAGCAAGCATTCCTGAAATTCTTGAAGGTTTATCCCACCTTGCTACTGCAATAAATAATTATTTTAAACTCATAGAGAAATCAGAAGCAACTTTAATATTATATGAATCATTTGCACTATCTAATGAAGAGCATGTAAGGGCTACAAAAAATTATTACAATGCATCGATGTTTAGTGATGTTGCTGTTCTTATGGACTTAGAGCAAGAATTTGAAGTTTGTGATGGCTATTGTTTTGCAAAGGTATTAATTTAATATATATAGTTTTTATTGTAATTTATATTAACTATTTTAATTATATAAGTTTTATTATTGATTCATATTATGTTTAAAAATGCTTCAATGTTTAACTTGGCACTTGTTCGTTGGTATGATTTTAAATACCCAAATACCCTCTCAAAATTTTATAAAATCGGGTGCCCTTATTTGCAATTAACAAACATTTATAATATAATTCCAATAGAATCAATTAATAATATCGTTCATATTGTT